ATAGATTCGCGTTGATCTTCAATATCTATGTTTATCTATATCTTGCGTAATCTCTTAATTATTTATTGGTTAGTGTTTTGTTTTCTTTTTTCCCTTGATTTAATTGTATATCGTCATTGAAATAAGATGGGCAGCTATAGCATCATATCTACCTCAGAGGACCGACAACGATATCAAGAACTATTGGAACACTCATTTAAAAAAGAAGCTCAAGATGAAGCTTGAGAACATCATCAACAAAGACAACACCGACATTACAGAGATGTCTTCTTGTAACAACAACAAAAGGATCGCCAACAAAGGCCAATGGGAGAAAAAGCTTCAAACAGACATCAACATGGCTAAACAAGCCTTGTTCCAAGCCTTATCACTTGACCAACCACCTTCATCGATCCCTCCCGATCTCGACTCACCAAAACCTCATCATCATCTTTCTACGACTACTTATGCTTCAAGCACAGAGAATATCTCTAAGTTACTTCAAAACTGGACAAGCTCATCTTCTTCAAGGCCTAACACTTCATCACTCTCCAACAATCGGAGCTCAAGCACCGGTGAAGGAGGAGTTCTTGATCATCACTCTTTGTTCTCCTCAAACTCAGAATCTGGATCAGTTGATGAGAAGCTGAATTTAATGTCAGACACAAGTGTGTTCCAAGGTGAGAGCAAACCAGACTTTGACATTGAAGCTGCTACTACTGATAATCAAGGCTCCTTGTCTTTGATTGAGAAATGGTTGTTTGATGAACAAGGCTTGGTTCAGTGTAATGATGATCAAGAAGGTCTCATTGACGTGTCTTTAGAGGTTAAAAATAATGATAACCACAGTCAAGATTTGTTCTGAGTAAAACAAAAACATGGAGCAACTCTATAGGTTTACTTCTTTTTTTCTCTTGTCTTTTTCTTCATGATTTTAGTTAGATATTATTTTACTGTGTGGCTTGCTTGTTGTCAAGTCGATAAAGATGAAACTGTGAATTCTGATTTACTTTAATATGTGAAGTTTAATAGAGTGCAATAAATTAAGCTTTTCTGTTTCGATCGTTTTTATTTTAAACAATTTTTATAATTGATAACATGGTGATGTGACTGATGTCACTGTTCAAATTCAACCGATGACTATATAATCTGTTTGGTATGGATTGTTGACCAAAATTTTGTATCATGAACAAATATATCTGATCCTTATAGGTTTATTATAAATATATATTTACTGTCTATTACAGGATTTTATGGAGATATAGGATTGTAATGTTTGTTTTTCTTTCTCTACCGGATTGTGAGTGAGGTTTTAATAATTGAACATAGATGTGCAAGGACTCAAGTTGGACTTATTACGAGTTACGATCTTTATTGTTTTATTTTTCTAAACGTCCATGGTGTTATTTAGTGAACAAAACAAAAAGGAATAGTGTTATAAAGTCTTCATTAAGACTTTGAAGACTACGTGCATTAATGACAATTAGGTTGGGGAAATTACTGCAATCGATAATTTTTTTTTATCGTATTATACTACTCCATTACCTACAAAATTGACCAATCCCTTAAAATGTAAGCAGGCATCAAAATATAGTACGACTTTATGGCTTCCTAGAACAGGATTTAGTGATGAAAAAAAAAAAAGAATATCATTTGATTGGCAGAATTATAATCTTTACTTACCTATTCTCTCTGTTCCTTAAACATACAAAAATATCATTTTTGGTGTGTACATTTAC